GCATCACTAACTAACATAAACAACAGAAATACTTAATGCACATGCTGGATAGACTTGGCAAAGATTCTGGTTGCTAAAGTGAAGATTTGTATTGGGGAATATTGGAAATTCAGGTTAATAGAGTATTCCAGTTAGTAAGATGCCGGTTAACACAGTTTTCACTGTATTTACGATTTTAAAGCAGTTTGGAAGCCCACCACTGCTTCAGTCATTGTAATATAAATTCTAAATACCCGTACATTTTGGCATTTGATTCTGGGTTCTTTCTGATGGAAAATCAGAGCTCCCTCTGCCCCTTTTGCTTACTAGGACGCAGGTCCAGATGTGGCTCTCCCCATCCCCAGCTGCTTTGTGGTGCTAAGCAATCCTGATATGCTAGTGTCCTGCCCATGTCATTGCCCTTCACTCCCCCACAGCCGCAGCCCCCACAGCCCTGCCACTGCCCCTCACTTCCAACCCATAACCCCCCTGGCCATACCACTGCCCCTCAATCCCCTCCCCGCCCCCACTCCCCACCTGCAGCACCCGAGCCCCAGCTGCTGCCTGTGGGAGGCAGTGGAGCAGAGCACAGAGCCTAGCTCCCCCTCCCTCACAGGCAGCACAACTGGAGCCCTTAGTGGGTGGGGGGGGTGGCTGTGGGCTCAGGGCTGCCCACCCTGCTGCCCTCCCCCTGGGGGTCTCTGGCCAACCAGGTGGGACCTGGTGTGGTAGGGCAGAGCAGGGTGGGTCAGGAAGGCTCGGTGCCACCACCAGGAGCCCCGCACCACCATGGAAAGGTGCCCCTACTCACCTGGTACAAGTGGGGGTGGCGGTGTGGGGTTGTGCACCTTGGTGCTGCTGTGCAGGCAGAGGGCTCCTTGCCATGCCAATACGGGGCTCCTGGTGACAGCACCAAGCCTCACCATCCGACTCTGTCCTGCCACACCAGGTCCTGCCCACTGCGCTGCAGAGGCCCCAAGGGGGAGGGCAGCAGGGCAGGCAGCCCTGAGCCTGCAGCAGGCAGCCTGCATCCACCCCCACCCTGCACACAAATCTTGGGCACGTGCCCCCCGTGCTGCTCCCTCAGGAGTGCACAGAGTGCCACCCCCCACCCTCCAGATGAACTGCCTGCAGGTCCATCCCACTCCCCACCTGGACCCTGCAGCCATGCATTCCAGCACCAGGCCCCAAGATGGGCAGTAGCTCCAGCCCTGCCCAACTCCCCCCCTCCCTATGGGGGCCTCAATCCACCTCCCCCCACAATTTACCTGCAGGGAACTGCTCTCATGCTACCTGGCTGCCATGTGCATGTGTACATGTGCATATGCACATAGCATCCCCTGCCTGATTGCACTCCTCCCATTCCCCCAGCCCCTTGCAGCCTGGAAGTCTGACAGCCTGCAAAGGAAACCTGCCGTTTTCCACATTTTTCTCCTTAAAGTGAGAAAATCCACGTTTTATCGTGCTTTTCCATGGCAAAACCTGGATCCCTGCTCACCACTTACAGCACTACTAGATTTTGGCTCATAAGTTTCCATGGGAGTAGCCTCTCTTTCAAAACTCCAAACTAGATGCCAAGTATGAACTCTCTAAAAAGATTTATGCATTCAGACACAGAAAAACACTGGTCAGATTTTTTCTGTATGCTGCTTTTTAACATACAATTTAAAAAGTGTCACTATGCTTAGTCAAAGCCAGCATAGTGAAGATATGCTGTGGGACGCTTGCTGGGCTTGTCTTGGATGTTTACATGGCAATAAGACACATTTCGATAAGATAGAAGATCTAATTCTCATTTGCACTCTGGCCATTTATACCATTGGCAGAATAATTGGGTCTTTAGCGTAAATGAAAATAAGCTTGATTTAGAAGTTAATTATTAAGAGAGAACTACATAGATTAACTTAATTATTGAAGGAAAGAGTTTAAATTGGATCTACTTAAGGCAACAGCATTATCACTGTCGTTAATAACTATGAGGCTGCAGTACCCCATTGTACTAGCTGTTATCATAGTCCAGAGAACTCAGTGTAATGTCTCAATCCTACTACTTACTCACAAGTTACTTAATGTGCATAAGTGGTCTCATAGTCTTTAAAATTTAAAATTAAACTTAAGTATTTGCAGGAGAGGGACCTTAGGTTAAGGCGAGACAAAAGTGGTTGTAAGACACCAATGGCAAGGTCAGGAAAGAAAGGAGCAAGGTGATAGTAATATAAGCAAGCTGTCAATGAATTTTTTTGCTGATCTGTTAACTTCAGGCATTTAGAAATTCACGAGACGCGTAAGTGTGCAATGTGCATTAGCTAGATACGTCACTGAGTAAATGGAAGAGGACTAGCTGGGGTTTTAATGGACAAGAAAAGATGCATCTTATTGCATAAATAAAGACCTACTGAAATTGAGGAGGCAGGCAGGTGATTTTGTAGACCAATCCTAGTGCACACTGCCATTTTCATGGCTGTTTGCGGCAAGGTCCCCCACCCGCAACACCGCCGGTTGACCAAAGGGCTGTGGCAGTGGCTCTGCCCCTCGCCACTGATTGTACAAGAGTGCTGCCCTTCAGGTACCTTGCCTCTCACCACTGATTGGCCAAAAGGGCTGCCATTCATGCCGTTCTGCCCCTCACAACTGATTGGCAGAGAGGGGCAGGCCTGCATGAGAGGTAGCCCTCTCCACCAGTCAGCAGAGGAAGGAGCAGCTGCCACCTTGGCTCCCTTTCTTTGTGCCAGTGGCTGTGAAAACTGCTGGTTCCCACTGGGGAACTAGCATTTTATTTTCAGTAAGTTGGGTGAGGGGGTGTTTTCTGGCACAGGGAATGCTGCTTTTCACAGAACCTGCCTCAAATTGCAGTTCTGCAAAAAATGCAAAATCATGATTTGAGTAGATCCCTATGTGTAAAAGAACTGAAGTGTTTGTGTTAACCTTCTTAAGCACTCTGATGTTTTATCTCTATGATCGCTTACTTCATTCTTTAAATCCCAGTTTCTGTTTCCTTTCCTAGGTGAAAAGCCATACAAATGTACCTGGGAAGGATGCACGTGGAAGTTTGCTCGTTCTGATGAACTAACAAGGCATTTCCGTAAACATACTGGAATCAAGCCTTTTCAATGCCCAGACTGTGACCGTAGCTTCTCACGTTCCGACCATCTTGCCCTTCACAGGAAACGTCACATGTTAGTCTGAATGTCTTTGGTCCTCTGACTCCCATCACACTTTCTTTTTTTACATGTGCATTTTTAATTTGGATTCAGCTGGTCTGAATCTCTGAGTTTATACCATTAAAAGCTTCCATATGGTCAGTAATAGATGTTCTCTAACCCTTCTATGTTCTTGCCACGGGTCAGACCTAAAGAATGTGAACACTTTTTTTTTTTTTTTTTCCTCTGGGGGATGCTAAGCAAACCTTTTCTGCAGACAGTATGTTTAATGTATTCCTTTGTGAATAAGGGAACTTCATTGGTTTCTCCATATAATCAACCAGCATATATTGATAAACTAGTAAATGCTATTCAGTATCCAGATTGCTAATCCTTGCCAGAGACTTTATTTATGTCCTGTAAAAAATACTCTCTTTGTATGCTCAACAATGCAATGAATAGACTTTTCCAACATTGTTGGTTACACCATCCTGTTTAACAAAACACTTTTAGAAAGGCACCTCTTTGATGTAGAAATCCCCTCTGCCTCAAGAGCGAAAGAGCTAAGCAATATATTCTTTTTAAATCATGAAAGTTTAAGTGGTAAAATTCATTTAGACCCAGCAGAAATCAAACCATACTGAGTACTGTGTTGTATGTCTGTATTCTGTTTGTATTGCATAATGCCTTGGGAGATTCAGCAGGTGAAGACCTTGCATGATGCTGGGCACATCTACACATGCTATTAATGTGCTTGAATAACCTCCAGCACAGTTTGTGCCAGAGTTCATTGCTCCCAGGCACAGCGTTTACACATGTGCCCAAGATTGAAGCACATTGAGCCAGGGTGGCACAGCCTCAGCTAGCAGGGGGCTCAGGAGGTCAGCCTGCCAGCCCAGAGGTGCTGCGCCCCAGCCCAATGTGCTGCAGAGGAGCTGGCTGGGGCACAAGTGCTACAGTGTGGGGCTAGCCAGCAGGCAGCCCTGTACTGTAGTACCCTCATGCCCCAGCCAACCCCTCACCATCGACATGTGAATTGATGCACTAAATAACTCTGCTGTAGAATAGTACTTGTGTCGGGCAAGAGTTGCATCCTACAACAAAGTTAATTAGTTTACTGTCGCCTAATAGTGCCACGTGTAGATGGTGATGCTTTACTGCAGAGCTGATTAGTCAACTCTGTAGTAAAGTGTACATGTAGATGATCCCACTGTATCTCTGTTTTATATGTAGCTGTATGGATGGTACACAATATATTAATCTGTAGCATAGCATTACATGACTTTCATAGAGGTCTACCACACCTCATTTCAGCCATTATAGGCATCTTCCTTTCTAGTCACTTTCCAACATTTCCTTTCCTCAAACATTTTGTATTGTATGCCAAAAGTAGTAATTGCCATATCAAAATTCTCCAAACCATAACATTATGGGAAGTGAGTGCCAGTTTTGATACACTATATACTATTTAAAAATAGTTCACAGGATTTTTAAGACAAAATGGCATCCCATATGCACCTCCCTTGAGAAACTGAGTAATGTCTTAGGTGGTAAGGATATGCCTGATAAAACCATTTTAAAGTTACTTTTTTGTAGATCTTATCTTTTTTAAGATGGCTAGATAAAAATGTAAATATAACATTAACATATTACATCATCAAGTCTTAATTCTGAAGTTAAGAAAAAAACAGATGAATACATATGTTCATAATATAATAGAATATCCTGAATTAAAATTACCCAATGTGATGCTAAACATACTTCAGTCCTTGGAATGTATTAACCAGAATTAAAAAGAATTTTTCTATGTTAGTTGGCAGACTGTGGGCCACCAAAAGAAAGCAGGATATATTTCTCTAAACTAAAATATTCCAGAACCACAACGTTTTTGTTAATTCCCTGAAATTTGAAAAAAGTATTCTCAATTTTCCTCTTTACATGGAAAAGCCTACTAGCAAAGAAAATACTCATTGTATTCTCCAAGAGAGCAGTCTGGTCAAGTTGCTGCTATACGTTGCCTTCTATGGAACAAAAATTGAGATCCTAAGGAGCAGGTGTTGCTGATGTCCCTAAACACCATGGATTCCAAAGATACACTGGAGTATGCTGCTGATCCAGGAGTTTGTGTGCGTGGAGTCTACCTCTGCTTCCTTGGCAGTATGGCTTCTCCAAAAGAGGCAGAAGAACCCCTCTTGCTGACATCCCATCTGCCAGTGAAACCGGAGGGGAAGGTCTGCAATGTAGGTCGACCTATTCACAGACCTTTTAGGGGTCAGTGAAAGAATAAGATAAAACCTACAGGTGTCTAAAGATTAATTAGGAATAGTTTCACTTACTGTGTAAAGAAATGCTTCTGCCATAAAATATGTAGTATTGTATGTGTTCTACAACTAACACTTGAATACTGAAGTATAGAAATCCTTGTGCATTTTATCTAAGGAATATCTTGTCCTTTTGTGATGCTGTTTTGTTTTATATTCAAGACCTGCAAGTGGGTAATGGCAGTTTTCATAGCAGTTCTTGAAAGTTTGTGTAAATTCTGTCTAAGGGATTAAGACCATATTCTGCTATGTTATATGAATGTTGATCTGAACTATCTTTTTTGGAATAAGATGAAGCTATGCCAGTTCATGAAACAAGATAGAAATCTAGCCCTTTATCCATTAGAACTGTCAGGTAAATATAGTAGTGTTGAAGTGATGCTGCAGTTGTAATGGTCCAGAAAATGAGAGAAGCAGGAATTTTTGTGGGTGGGCCAGTAAACTGATTTGGGATAGATTTAGATAAGCTTTCAGGTATCACTACTCTTTCTTGGATCCCCAAGAGAAAATCAAGTATAGCAGAGCTAAATAGCTACTTATTTACCTTTTGCATAGCAGATCTGTTCAGCTCTGCCATGCCTGCTTCTCTCCAGAGTCCCAAGGAAGACTACTGTGATACTAGAAAGTTGGTCCAATTAAAAGATACCACCCACAAAAACCCACGCATCTTGCAGGTAAATACAGACAATTCTGTTTTCTGTCAGTACACTGATCTGTTACTAATGTAGCCAAAACCTTCCTGGATGGAGAATTAGTATAACCTAGCATTGTTTTGGGGTTTTTTGGCAACTGTGCCATGGAAGAATTAGAATTGGTCACTACCCTAGAACTTAATACCTGTGAAATTCTCATTAGCTTTGATAGTGGATCATTTTATGCAACTCCCACGGGTGCAGGTTCTTAGTCTGTACCCTTAATATATTGTATAATATAAGTGTACCAACAAATTTGGTATCCTGGGAATAAAAAAAAATCATATAGTGGACAAGGCAGGTGACAAGCATTTTATTTCCATTTATGCTTTCAGTGTAATTTTAAACGCATCACATTTTGGATTTTTGAAAATAACATTTATTTTTAGTGCTGCTAGTTTCTTTTCGTTCTTTTTTTTTCTTTCATAAAGATTTTCTTTAAATATTTGCATGGTTTTCTAAGTACAGAACTGGGTCCAAATGACCTGCTTGAACAATTTCTTTGATGTTAGGACTACTCCAACAGAGCATTTTTATCCCCAACATTTAGCTTACTAACCATGTTCATTTATTAATCTACTTACCTTCCATTTTTAAAAATGTTTAAGATGAACAGTGGGGATAGGAGCAAAGATGCAATATAATTTCAAATGCCTTGGCTACATACTTAATGATATAGGACATTTAACAAGAACAGTTTAAATTTAAGCATTAAATAAAAATCTTAAGTTCCTACAAATATCTTTGTAGGATTTTTCTCTTTATGTATATGGTGTCATTTTGTAAAAAGTCAAAAAAGATTGCAAACAAGTAAGATGTTTTTTCCTTCATTTTAAAATGTGAATCCACATCTTAAATGGGGCATTAACTGTTTTTAATGAATTTGGTTTGAGGGCTACTTTGAAAATATATGGATGAAACTAAGGAAATGACTAAAAAGAAAACAAACCAGTTCTGCCCTCGTCAACCTACATGGATGCAGGATCAGATGTAAAATCAACAAAACTAATCCTGCATTAGAGTTACGTGTATATTTAAAATAAATCCTGGTTTACTAGCATTATTGCACTGTATAGTATGTAACTTGAGAATATTGTACCTGTATTCACCATTAAACATAATTATAATGGATTACTTATTTCCGAGACAATCCTTCGGAGTTCAACAGGTATTTCAGCAACGTGGTTTTATTTAAATATACACTGTAGTTCTGTAGTGACCTCTCTAATGCCACAAGCTTGTCTGAACATGTTGTCTGCTTTTGTCTCTGTTTTTGTCTCTGTCAAGGTTAGCAACTTGTAGATGAATGCAAATCCTTTCTGTAAAGAAAAATAATTACAAAGAATTTTACATGTATTAAGAGGGCTACAACAACTTTCAATATGTTTTACAGATATTAGCACTTTTCTGCTATTTATGTACTTCAAATGTTAGAGGGTCAAAATAATCTTTCTGCTTAGCATCTCTTAAAATATCACCTGCAAATATAGCAGGGATATTACATTTACTTTAATACTTGTATAAACTATGCAGAAATTTTTTAATAGAATGTAATATATTTTATAAGCTAATAAGAGTGGGTAATTAAAGGTTTCTAGCATGCATTACTATAACTTGCAAATACTGAGACATTTTGGTAATCTTTCTTACTAAAGATGTGAATGTTTAATGTACTTTCACTGTTTCTACTTTGGTAGTCCAATGGGAACTCAGTAATGACATTTTGTCATGTCAAACTGTGAACATAAATTTGTACTGTACAGGCCTCATACAATATGCCATATACAATATATATGTATTATACTTGTTAATAAAACCATCGGAATATTAATTGTGATGTCATTTTTACTATAAGTGTAATCAGCAACTGATTGATTGATTTTAAAATTGATTTAAAATATGTAAAATCAGCAATTGAAAAAAAAGCATTTTTATTTTACTTTTTCTGACTTTTGAAGAGAGCCAATCACTGGAATTTCTGTGCACCAGAGAAATTTTCCAGAATAATTATTTTTATATCTTATTAAATAATAAAGAATATGCTGATCTGATGTGCATACAGAACTATATAGTCTTATGATCAGATTCACTACAAACCTGTGCATCACTTTTTTATAGTGATACAAATGATTGACTTATGTAAATCAAACGAACTGCAAAGAGCTCTTGGATTTCGATGCAGCCTCTTAATCTCTATTATTATTTGCTTTTCACGAACATATAACTAAATGTTTTCATGCAGTGTTTGTAAAAAGCGAATTTCTGGTTCACAGTTAAGATTAGTTTAATGGATGAATAAATTATATTTGTGTGCAATAACTGTAGTCTATAGTTTGTCATTCAGAACAAGATATTTGCGGACATGTGAATTCCAAACCATTAATTTATTTCAGTTCATTTATTACCTTTTAATGAGAAATCCAAAGTCAAACAAACTAAATGAACTGTAGCTCATTGAACAAGCTTTAGATAAAGCACCACTTTAAAGCATGCAGACGCTGATACACGAGACACGGGATGCTGCTAGAGTGCAGCAATTTCCATGCTGCAACAGAGTCAATTAATCAAGTCTGCTCCCACACACTCAAATTGCAGTGTATCAGAGCAGCCTTTCTCTTTGTGTGCAGGCACCCCAGATCTCCAGAATGCCACAGAGCATGGTAAAGGCATGTCCTTCTGGTGCTCTGCAGCCAGTGGTCTAGCACACAGTAATCCTAGTGTGTTTTCTGGGAGTATCTGTCTGGCAGTTCCTGAGGACAGATGAGTGCA